CATCATCATCATCATCATGACCATCATCATGGACCATCATCATCTACACTATTTATACTACAATTGATACATTTATAGGTAACAATAAGAGTTGCAGAAGATCTGCTTGATGAGGTTTGCTTTGTTGGATGGCCTCACATAGTTGAAGCAAAGGTCTTGTCAGTCTCTGATAACACCTTTAGGTAAGTCTGCATCAGTCCTTTAAAGGTAGCACTGGAGAYAATTCTCCTTTGATCTTCTTTAAGTTAGAATTGCAATTTTATTGGTGTTATAAAATCAACAATTTTCTAGAGAAAACATTGATAAACGTTTGAGCCACAGTTCACTGGATCTTAATGCAATTTACGAAGCTTTTGACTCCTCTAGAGTTTCGATAACAATGACTGCAGTCATTCCATATTTGTACTTGTAAACCTTCATACAAATCTTAGCTATTTGCAATTTTTGAATTTACCAGAATACTCAGTAGAGTGCTGACATTTGCTTGTAAATTGCAAGGCATTTTATTGAGGCCATGTTGTACACGTAAAGTCAAGGCTCTGTTTTACAAAGAAACTTTTACCAAAAACTGTAGCTGTGCTATTTGCTTTGCAAATATTCTTTTTACTTCCGTAGATTTTTTTTCTGTTATAAAAAACCTCATTCCCAAATCTGCTTTAAAACCAGTTTCATTACGTTTTATATAGTATGTTATTACTTGATTTTCTCATGATGTTATTTGTTAGATATGTGCTTTCACGGGATAGCCCCAAAACTGATGATGGTAAGAAGAATATTGAGCAGAATGTCATGACAGATGAAGGGTTAGCAATATGGAACAAGCAGGTCTCTTGCTATGTACAATTGTAAGTGAACTTTCATTTAATTAGTCCGTTAAAATGCTTTACAATTTTTGAACCATATCAACAAATTGCATTGTATGTATATGCACCTCTCAAACTGTTGCACAAAATCGACCCTTTAAGCTTGGGCTGATTAAACACAACCGTTAAACAAAGAAATGATACTCAAGGAAATGACATGTGGTCCATTACAAAAGTAGAATCAAGATCTTCCTCTGCAACATCRTGCTCAATGAGTTTGATTATGTTTGCTAACCAGCAAAACATTGCTGCCTTTGAGTGCTGCAGTTGCAGCATGCGTCCAAGATTTTGATTGCACATGTTCTTTTTTCCTCTGCAGTCAGTTGGAAAGAAGAGGTATTGAAGTTGGTGAGGTTAATGTTTTAGTTGAAGCATGTCCCATCCAAGGAAGAAGGTAACATTTTGAATCTCTTTCTTTAATTTACCCAAAGAATAGTGCGGTTTTCGTATGACTGYGAAAAGCTCAGTGCCGTGCCGTGACCGTGATGTTTTCTAGAATTTTAATTGGCTGATTTTTTTCTCACGCAATRAATGATTGGTCTGAAAGTGCCGTGACTTTGGCGTGACCGTGTCTGCGCCGTGTTTATGCAGTGTTCTGGGTATTTGATTAGATGGAGAGTGAAATTTCAAGCAATGTGATTGGTCTGGCGTACCCCTTGCCGTGTCAAGAACGCTTTTTTATGCCGTGAGCTATTCACAGTCATGCGAAAACTGCTCTATCATCACTAATGTACAGTACAGTACCTTCCCTGAATTCACTTATGAGTGAATATATTCATGAGCACTTCTAGTCTAACCACAACTTGAAGCTATTGATTAGTTAAAGCCAAAAGTCGTTTTCTTGAGCCCTCTTTTCATTGTTTAAAATKGTTTTTATCTCCTTTAGGTTTGTTTGTGGTTCCAAGGGTCAAGTAACGCTAGAAAAAGAATGGTCGCAAGTGCCAAAGCAATATGCACTRCATGCTGTTGCCAAGGTAGCAGAGTCTAAGATAATGTGCATGTTTACTGCATGTACACCTTGCAAATATGCAAGGGTTGAGATGGAAGTGAAGTGGATGGGATGGAATGGGATGAGATATACAGTAGGACTGGATAAGACGGGMCAGGAAAAGGCAGTTAAGGAAATGGGATAGAATGAGAGGGAAAATGAAATGAGATGAACTATGAAAAAATATACWTCAAATATATATATTTTTGCTGTGATACTGGTAGTCTTTTCTGAGTCTCCCTAGCCAGAGGCTAATGTTTAAGTATACAACACACTCACTGCCACTATATTTTAATGTTTTAAGCTCTCAACTCTAAGCTCTAAGCTCTTTACTGTCAACTCACTTGYGGATTTTTGAGGAGGGAAGAAAACCTGAAACTCATTCCACTCAACCAAGAATCATATCTGTGATGATTCTACATCGTTGCTAAAGTTCAGCAATGAACTCTAAGATGATATTTTTCTGTAATTCCAGGACATATTTGTTCATGAGTCTGTCACTAAAAGCAGCATCCAGACTATCGAGCAGCTCTTTCCCATTGGCTCCCAGTGCTTCATGCTAGCCTCTCCTCACTACGGAGCACAGGGGGAGGTACTTGAGGTAGATGTCAATCAAGGTCGGGTACGGGTACAGCTGAAGGTACCCATGGAACCCAACATCACCCCAGTTATGATGCAAAGACAGGTAATTTAACTCTACTTTATTAACTAATATCTATAACAATGGCCTACCATGGGGGGAAGGGGGGGAGGGGGGTCGAGTATAGGTACCCACTAAATCCAACATCACCCCAGTTATAATGCAAAGAGAGATAATGTAACCCAAGCTACATAAACAGGGTATTTTCCCATTTCAGACCATGTGTCATTCCGTTGAGAACAAGTTTCTTTGTTTGAGTGCTATCCACATTTTATGTATYCACTTAAATTTGACTGAAGAACAAAGAAATAATACTCAAGGAAATAATATTTTGAAATACAATTCTCCTTCCTAGTCACTTTAAAATACTTAATACTTATTCCGACGAAGGACTAGCGTCCGAAACGTCAGTAAGTTTTTTCATCTTTTCACGGTGTATAATTTACCTTTTTATCATTACTGTTTCATTAGAAACACCGACGCAGCTCACACTAGTTTTTAGCTAGTTATATCTTCTGACGTAAAATACTTAGCAAATTTGTTTCTGTTGAAGGAGAGAGTTTGAATAATGCATTCTTTTGTTTCTCACAGCAATTCTCAGAAAAATACATCCCAGCTCACATCCTGGCCCAGAAACTCGGGATTTCAAACTCGTTACTTGGAAAGATGACAGCCAAGTTTCTTATTGAGAGAGGATCTAGAGAAAAGTATGTATAAAAGAGAATAAGGAAGTTTGGGATTATAACTGGTAAAGATTTCACTTTCACCTTAATTTTGAGTAGGGTACATTTAGCTTGTTAGGTTTTATGAACGAAGGAAAACCAGAGAAAAACCCTTTAATCACGCCAATCACTGTCATTTATTAGTCTATTAACTTGTCAGGGCTGTAACCAGTGKTCTTGCAGGGTGGGTGCACAATGAATGAAAATGGAACTATGTCTAAACTAACAGCCATGTTGAGAGAAGTGTTATGACATCTCTAGGATTTGCAGAAGCAAAAAAGATCGATCCAATAACCAACCTAGAATTTGCAGAAGCGAAAAAAACATAATCTAACAATGGACGAGCGATAATCAAAATGCTACAATTTGCAGATGGAAAAGGGAATAGAAAATAATGAATTTGTTAACAGACCTTCAGCTTTTGCGTGGGGGGGGGGGGGGGGGGGGGGGGGTGGGTGGGGGTACGTCAATGCACCCCTTGGTTACGGCCCTGCTTAACCCTTTTTTATCCCTTTTCTTTTGCAACGATCATATTATAAATGATCATTGACTGAAGGAGTTTGTATATTTTTCAGGAGCAAGGGACAAGGTCAAGCCAAGTTRGACATCGGGTTGAACCTCAAGCACAGCAAACACAACAAAGAGGTCAGCAACATTCATTTCTGTTAACATTTATAAAATAACTGTCAGTWATAAATCTAGCGTTCTCATTGGTTGGGAGGATGTGCTTTATGAGAGCACACAGCACATTCTGGTTTTCTTATCCCCATCCAAATAACCATCATTCATTGTAATTTGTGTCCGCTACTTGTCGAACTTCTCCTAACACGTTTTTTGTGTTCTGCTGACAGAACTGCATACAGCACGCGTGCGCAATTTCTATTCTCGCTTTCTCTCATTCCTATCCAARGTAACGATTACTGTAATTCAATTTATTTGTATTGTATAAGAGAAATAACAAACTTGYATGCTGTGCTGTGTGCAGTCAAAAAGCAGCCCAAGTGCTTTATAATTGCATGCAAAATGYACAAGCTTTTTCTATTTCTTCGATAGAGAGAGCTTTGTGACATAGAGATAGTAAGTAATAAGATATATTATGAACCTAGTAGAATATTTCCAATATCCGTAATTTACATCTGTTTATACTCTTGTTTAGCTTATTGGATATACCAAGAGGACAGATCAAGGTAGTTGGCTATTCTCTCCAGCAGCACATAAGATMATCGCTGACTACATACTACAGTAAGGATTCTCCTTCCTTCTCCATTCCTTCCTTCTTTCCTCTTTCTTTCCTTTTCTTACTCCCTCTTTTCCCCTCATATCCCTCCACATCTTTTATTTCTTCCCACCTTTTTTTTCTTTGCTGCTGCCCCCTCCCTCTTTCTTCTTTCTCCCCCTCCCTCATTCCTCCTTCCTCCTTTATATTTTCCTCCTTGCTYCTTACTCGCTATCTCCTCCCTTCCTTGCTCCTCCCTCCTTGCTCCTCCCACCTTTCTCCTTGCTTCTTTCTCCCTACTCTCCATTGTCCATCCTCCTCTCTCCCTTCTCCCTCCCTTCTTCGTCCTCCCTCCCTTTCTAATTCAAGTGTCACCTCCTMCATCTTCACATTCTATTTCTTTTCGGTTTTCACTGCTCTCCTCTATTCTTCTCTTCTCATTCTACACTCATATGTTACCACGATTAATTATACAAATATTCTATATAACACATTTTCTCATTCAATTAAACTCTTTTTGTATCTTTCTCCAGATTTCCTCGTCTTTTTGAGGCGATCGGCTCTCTTGAAT